ACTCAATTTTTAAAAATCTAGTAATTTTAATTATTAATAACAATCACTCAACGGCATTGAGATTAAGGTCTCTCAACACCGCATTTGGATGTTGAATTCGAGGAATCCAGTTTTTAAAAAGGGGAAAAGAGAAGAACCTAGGTCTACTTGCTTTCAGACAGAGCTATGCTTTTTTCGATGTGTTTATTTATTTTGATTTTCACGCGTTTTTGTTCTCACAATTAAAACGGCATCCATTCAGAAAATGCAAATGATCGCGACTCCCGGGTGCGTTATGAACTGTGATTATTTGAGCTGCGACCAACCCAGAATTCGATTATCATAACTTCGCCCAAATTTTGATCCTCAGGAAACACAGCGACATCATGCATGCCGCGTAATTTTCGCCCAAGCTGCTCCATTCATCTCTCATCATCCAGTTATCTCGGCTAAGGAATTTTTGGGTTTCTCGGACTTATCCCTTATATCAAGTCAGATAAATTTTTCATATCTTCTAATCTATCAAATACTTTTTTACGTTGGATTCTCCCTGAAATAAGTTGCATCCTGACAGAGGAACTCGGTCGTTAGCCTGGTCAATCGGAGTTGTATTGCACAATGAAGCAACGAGGTTTAAATTTTATGCAACTTGAATAGTAGTTTCACTGACCGGGGCGGCGGTTAACCCGAGGTTCCTTAATTTCTCAAATTTGAGATCCATCAGGAGTAGGCGGCACTTACTTGGCGGCTTTCCTACGTTCATGTTTTCGCGAAGTCAGCCAGATAGTGACGATGTTCCCAGTGCAGCCGATGATGCAGATAGCTATGTAGATGAATAAGTCATAGTAGAGCCAGTCGGAGTCACTCAACACGCCAATGGCGTTGACGGTGAAATTCGTGCCTTCGCCGAACCACTTATCGAAGTCTATCCTGTCGAGGCGAAACTCGCCGTCGTCGTCGCTCGCAGTCGATGAACCCTGGTCCATGCTTCTTTTTATTTGATTTCCGAAATGATTATTGCACAAAATTTACTGACTCTTTTCCGAGTTCAACAAATGCGTTATTTTCAACAACAGCAATAAATTTCTAGCATTGTGTGCTGAGGTAAACCATGCATACAAGCCCTTCAGCAATCTACACAGGCAGGAAGAAAAACAACAAAACTAGCTTTGAAACAGCATCAGCAATCCCAGGAATCAATTGGGTGACTGCGCGTATTCATTCGTTTTGGTGCTGCGTTCAACAGGTGAATGGGTATGTTAACAGTACTTAACACCGATGGAAGCACTTCTGCGAAAGCTTTTGTCGAACTAAAATACGCTGTAATGTAGTTTCAAGTTTGCTTCCGCAGCAATTGAAAAGGCTTTCAAATTCATTGAAAGTCTTCAAAGTTCAAAAAGACTTTTTTTACTTTCAGGAAAATTGTTATTTGTTGTAAAGTCGGGACAAGTAAGCACTAGAATTTCTGCATGGCACTGGATGGGCGGTTAAGCATCATTTTCCGCATGCACCGAACTGATCTGAGAATTTTTACATTCACATTGATCACTTTTTGGGATTTTTACTTGTACGATGACCTCACTCGCACCATAATCCCGAAATATGAAAATCATCAGCAATATATCGCTTTAAAAATGCGTGAGCTCGTGATCGCCATTTTTCAGCGCGCGACCCTGAGTCACTGGCAGGTAAATGGAAACTGAGGCCCAATCGCATCTGCCCTCAGCACCTAACGCGGCAATCTTTTCGGAAATGCACGTGGACGTTCAGACCTCCGCAAATAATAAGGACCACACAAGACATGCGTACAGAAGCTACCTCAGACGCCCGTGTCTCAAGCGGAGAAGTAGAAACCCTGAACCATATTGGGCTGCATGAAGCTGCAGCAGAGCGGGGTTTAGCACTTGGCTTAAACGCGCATTTCCCGTTGATTGCCCGGCTGCAAATGGTGCTCATATTCATCGTATTCACGAAACATGATATTTCATCTATTTACCCCGCAGGGCTCTCGGAATTTGGCGAAGGAAGCTCGATTTTTTTGTTGCTACCATAAGCACATCCAAGGTCGCTCTTGATTTGACCATTCAGTTACTCACGCGCGCAACCTCACGAGGAAGTAGCAATCAAAGATCTCATCCGGAACTTCGCCAACTGTGTTGTTTTTCTGATCTAAGAACTTATTGCAGCTCAATGGCTATAATGATGATCAGCGGATTTTTCCTTCAGAAATTGAGGCACTCGACAGCTAATCCAAGCTTCTCAATTTGTACTAAGTGATGCCCAATGAATTGATGCCACCGCTAAATATCTGGGGTTTCACGAAAAGAATAATCCGCATTTACTCCAGTACCACGCGCACCACCCTTTCCCACAGAAAGTCATTGGCGCGTATGCACTTTTGAAAAAGTTTTAAAAGTTAAGGTGCGCATTACATATGATTCTAATGGGAACTTTGGACAAATTCTAACAGAAAAACGTATTTTAATATAAATGATTGAATTTTAATTGAATTATCCGGATTGAATAATGTCTAATTCAAATTTGGGTATTATTTTTCTAATACAATATTTCAGTTTTAGAATCATTAAAAATGGGGTGTACTCGCTGATGGGGATACCATCCTTGACGGAAAAACCCTTGTGCGCCTTTTACTTGAAGGCGTATGGTACTCGAGTAACGGTAAATATAATGTTTTCGCCAGGTGTTCAGCAATACTAAAAAGTCTTAACCACTTCTGCAAATGCAATCCAAAAGCAAAACTGTATGTTGAAGCAGTGAATTGTAAAATGATCCCTCTATATACGGTATTTTCAATGTGGTCTCTGTTGGTTTCGTTCTGCAAAATATGCTGGCGCAAATCCAAAATCATATCAGTCTACGCTGATTGAAGCTAGGGTACAATAAATAAATTGTTGCAGAAAGTTGGACTAATTTGCCAGAATGTTAACAAATGCCCCGAAAATGAGGTACAGATGTTGCCTTGCCCAATAAACATGTGAAATAAAAATCGTCTTGTCTCTTGAATATTCCCTTATTTATTATTGCGACAAAAGGTGACCCCAGTTGCGCATTTTTACATTTTAAATCTCAACTACTGTATATTTGAGTTTCATTTAACAGCTTTACCATTTTTCCACTTTCATCCTTCTGTATATGCACTTTAGCGTAAATAAAATATTTTCCTTTGTTCTGCTAAATCAATTGACAAATACAAGAAGATCGCCGATTCTATGGAAATGGTGGCCAACAGCCAAGGAACTTCCAGAAAATCATATAATACTGTTAGCAGAATTACTATTGTGCAACCGGAATGAATCAATTAATCAGCAGTAGCAAATTATGTCCAAATGAAGAGATGTTTTCTTCCTCAGGCCCGTTCTGCTGAACCATTAAAGCTCTGGTACCACTTATAAAAGTTCAGCAAGGCAGCGATACCCACCTAGATCCCTCTCGCTGACACAGCAACCCATTGAAGACAAAAGTTCAACAGGTTTTCCTCGTATGCATCCGCACTGCTCAAGGGTGATGCGAAACGTTTCCCCCGCTATAGAACGTGGGAGATACGCGCATGGATATCACATATTAAACTGAATTTGCTGAAGAAACAAAGGAATGATCAATTACACATACAACTCAACTTGAGAGTTTCTTTATAAAAAATTCAAAGAAATTTAACCATAATGAAATTTTGAGTCCCATGAATAAGGGTTACTAATATAGACCGATTTGAGGCAGGCGCGACATCCAACAGAAATTTGGCTACTCAATTTTACTCTTGCAGTACATTAAGGTACAATAATGCGCTCGCGTTCTTGAAAAATTCCGATTTTTTGTTTGCCATTCATTCGTTTTATCAGCACGAAGCAATCTATGTTTGCATATCAAATGGTACGATAATACTTAGATGTTGAACGTGAAAGGCGTGTTATGCAACTTCCTCCAAAGCCTGCTGATCCCAGACCCTCTGCTCCCCCTGTGGGTGGGGCTTCGAGGGAGTGAGGATATAGAGGGTAAAGATAGAGAGAATTGTTATCGGTGTCGCTACTCTGAGCAGCGACACCTAATAGAAATATCAGCATCAGCCATGTTGTCCAATTCGTTTAACTAAAAGTATGGAATAGGAAAAACTTATCCGGCGATGGGCGATGGATGGCTGGACGAAGGAACAGAACATTTCGACTGGGAACCTTGAGAGAAGCAGAGGTGTATCATCCTGTCGACTTTTGTTGTGAACCGTCGTGTTAAATGATATCGTGATGTGACGTGAGCAGAAGGCCTACTGACATTTTCTAACTGTTGCTAATGACTCACATACACTTCTAACGCCATGAGGTGGAAAGAAGTTACGGCTGCGTGTCCTGGTGAACCATGGATTTTGACGAAGTGCAGAATTTTAATGGGATTTTCCGTGGAACTTTTACTTGATGTTTTCATTTGTCAGCTAAGGCGTTCATATTGTGAAATAACTTTACGGAACAGCAGCTAGTTGACGCAAACCGGATTATATAAGGCCGAATCGCTGTGTACCACCTTATTTGACCCTTGTACAATTGTGCAGCTCCGGGAAACGAAGTGAAAGACAAGCTACGTAACCGTCTAGAGCGCTGTGCGGAAGTGTTTTTATTCGACGATCTCTACTTCGAACGTACTGATGCCCAAGTTTGGATCCTTCGCTGTATCATAATTTGTTGAAACATTGTTAGCTTGGGAACTCAGGCTTCCTTAGTGTTCATCTTCCCATGCTTAATATTTGATCGAGCAAGGAGAATTTCCTCTTGAGTTCATGTGTTTTTGCTGTGGAGTTTCCTAGTGCTCCAATTTTTCATTTGATTTATTTTTTTGCGAAATAGGATGGCAGTAACCGTACTGATGCGTGTTTGACGTACGTTTTGGATTGCGCGTTCTCTTCGATTGTGGGGATCCCTGCATTGAAGTTTTAGCTGAGGGTGAGGATGAACCTGTAACAGTTGCATTAATTTAGTTGCTGAACTTCTTCGATATCCGGTAGGAAATCTATTGGAATGCTCGACTGGGAGGAAATCCATGATGGAGTGGAACGCTTCTCCTTCTATGACTCGGATCGGTTCGAGGAGGATTCCTTGTGCTCGTGGAACTCTGAGCCCGAGCCTGTTTGTAATAATTGGCGAGGCTGGAAGCGCCCTTCAACTTTCCATTCGTTAACAAATGGTTCCAACAACGGTGGATCTCATGCTCAAGGAGGATCCCCCGTAGTGATTTCCTCGCTTGTAGAACTAGCGGCAAAGCAGGTCGCATCGCACATCCCGTTCGAAGTTGTTGAGCGATTCCATATTCCTGTTCCCGAGCCATTGCAATTACGCATTACATTCTGGTCTTTCCCGGAGAATGAAGATGACATTCGACTTTATTCGTGCTTGGCAAATGGAAACCCTGATGAGTTCGTTCGCGGAGAGACCCTATATCGAAACAAAGCTGTCAGTCAGTCGCTTCAAATAGGGTTTCATTTGAGTGCGAATGTTACCATCCCGGGGTCTTCAGTTGTACTGCCGAGTGGTAAGTTTTGCATTCATGAATCTGAGATAGTTTTTTTGTACATTGTATTCTCAGTTGCAGGGTCAGCGACGGGCACTGGTTCTGCTGGGAATACCACTCGTGAAAGTACGCGTGGTACCGAAAAGACCAACGGTGGATCGAACACCTTTCATGTTGCCATCACATTCGATCGCAGACGGATCGTGTCATGCACTTGTACTTGCAATGGAGCAGCCTCATGGTGCAGCCACGTCGTGGCTGTGTGCCTTCACAGGATTCACCAGGTGAGAAGAAAATTTACCGGAGTATTTACCTCCTTCAGTTGAGAGTTTGCAACCGCAGTGATGCTCTGCTGAATGCAAAAATTACGAGTGTCTTCCGAAATGGCACCATTTTCTATTGACTTGATTACATCAGATCATGTTCATTATCACTTTCTCAAAAAATTATGGATTCATCATCTCAAATTTCTTCGTGCAGGTGAGTCAGGTGAAGCTGCGAGCACCAGTCAGCGAGTCGCTGTCACGTTTGAGGCGAGACCAGCTGCAGAAGTTCGCGCAGTACTTGATCAGCGAACTCCCTCAGCAGATACTGCCGACTGCTCAAAGATTGTTGGATGATCTACTTTCTGCTCAACTGTCACCTATCAATACTGTGAGTGAAGACATCTGGATAAAGTATTTTGATTCTGATTCAAAAATTTTAATGACCAGGTGTGCGGCGCTCCGGATCCAACTGCTGGCGCATCCGCAGGAGAACAGACCGCTTGGTGTTTTAATGAAGCTGCATTGCATGATAACATTAGGAAAACGCTCATTAAGTTCTGCGTTCCGTCACCAATCGTTTTTAGTGACGTGAATTATTTGAGCTCAACGGCTCCGCCTGCAGCAGCAGAATGGACCAGCTTGCTTCGCCCACTTCGCGGAAGAGAGCCAGAGGGTATGTGGAACTTACTTTCTATTGTCCGAGAAATGTTCCGGCGACACGACAGGAACGCGATTCCGCTGCTGCAAGTACTTACGGAAGAATGTTTGGCTTGTGAGCAAATTCTGGTTTGGTGGTTCAATACCAAAGTTGCTCTCCATACTGGCTCAAGTGCGCACAACGGCCGAAGTAACAATGTCAACAATAATGCACACGCGTCTCAACATGCAACGTCTTCACTTTGCGACGAAATTGTTGCTTTGTGGCGACTGGCTGCCCTGAACCCAGCATTACCTCCGTCATCCCGCGATATTTTATTGGAACGCTTCAAAACTTGGCACATAGAAGTTATTCAACGAGTGCAGAAAAGCAGAGCGAACAATGCTAACAGTGCCCATCATGGTGGGAATGGTGGAGGAAATGCTGCTGGAAACAACAACAGTGGCCAACGACCATTCGTAAGCAGAACAGATATCGAAGCCTTCAACGGATTCAAACCTGCCATCGAAGCTTGTTCTCTGACATGGGATGATTATCCAATTCTTGGAGTGACGTTCTCTTTCGACGGTCTTTTTGACGGAGATCATACCGCGTGTCTAATTTCAAGTGACAGTCCGCATGGTGGCCGACAATCTGCCATTAATTCCTCGCAAGCAGTGCTTAATTGCCAAGTCATGAGAACGGTGAGCGGGACGGGGAGTGAAGCAGGCGCCGCCGGGGTTGCCAAGAAGAGCAGTGTGTTCAGTCCAATGGCAGGAAATCGCTGTAGCGTGAGCAGCGAAGGTTTCTGTGAGAACTTGAATGTAGACGATGCCCAGCAAGGGAATGATGACGAGATTGAGTCCGATCTCTCGACATCGCCGGGCTCGCAGGTACGTGCTCTCGTGTTGCAAATGTCGCGGGATCGTGAAGAAGCCGATGCAGATGCGGAAGCAGAATTAGACGCCGAAGCAGAGCGTGCATGTGCCGCTCCTAAACCCGAAGCTGGAGCCATGGCTACCGTTGCTTCCTCATCTTCGTCGTCGTCTTCGTCTTCCCTGTGCTTTGTTGCCCCGTCGTCGGACACGAAGGCCAAGCCCGAGGGAGAAAAGCCAGCTGCTGGAGCAGGGTCCCACAGTATAAGCCCCTCGTCTCAGTCGGGTCATCTTCGGGACGAATCGGGTTATTTTGTTCATCTAAAGCGTTTGGATGACCCCTTGGAGGTGTTGTTCGCTCGAGCTGAAGCACTTCATGCTCACGGGTTCAGCAGTGAAGCATCTACGTTGGCAATTCAACTTGCCGAAGAATTGCTTGCGCGTCCGCCGGACTTGATGGTCGACTTTCCACCACCGCCGATGACGAAACACAAACGTCGTCGTTGCCGGGTGAATCCGGTTTCACATCAGACCTCCTGTCTCGCATCTGCCACGCTATCGAAAGCGTCCTTCTTGTGCTCAGTTCTTTCTGACATCCCCGAGTTACAATCGCTGGCTTTCCGTGTCGGATTGTTTGGACTGGAGTTGGCAAGACCCCCAGCATCCACGAAAGCTTTGGAGGTGAAGATGGCCAATCAAGAATTGGAGCTCGTGAGTTGGTTGAAGAAGATTCCTCTGGGTCAAACTGAGCTGGACATCATTCGAGAGAAAGCCATACAACTCCGGGATGGTACACTTCGTTCCAGAGGCGATGCGTTGTTGCCTCTCAACTTGGCATCATACATTCTCGATGCGCTTGTACTGTCCTCGACAATGGCGACTCAAGCTAGTGTGACTGTTCAGCCGCCATCTTCGACACCCACTTCATCTCCCCTGTCTACGCCATCTAGTTCTGTGTCAAAAGCGGAATCAATGATGCAGAGGGCAATAACTGACAAACAGCTCGGATTTGCCGCAGCTGTGGCTGCACTTGGACTGAAGGCCAATGTGTCAGAAGCAGAGCACCCATTGTTGTGCGAAGGTACACGGCGACAGCGTGGGGACCTGGCATTGACGTTGCTTGTCCATTACAAAGATGACCAGAATAAACTGGCGTGCATCATGGACAAGTTGTTGGATCGTCAGGTGCATCAGATGTACAAAGCTCCGCCACTTTCTTCGTACTACGCGACGAATGTTCCGAATGCTGGGTCCAGCGGTGCGACTGCAGAAGCTCCACTGAGAGATAATCAGGCTAGCCAGCGGGTTGATTCCCGTGAAAGAAATGATGTCGGTAAGTTCACTTCTTTGTCTTTTCACGACATAGGTTCTATGTCGCGTGATCTTATTTTTTGTAAACTCGTCGCGGATGTTCAGTGACTTAAATGCAAGTTTAATTTTAACCTCGTGTCATTCCCCCGAATCGTAGATTACGAAAAGTATTTGACTAGAGTTCTTTAACGTGATTGTTGAGCGCGTTTTGGGAATAATTCGGCGTGGAGGGCCTTCTTTATTCCTGGATTTTGCTATGCTTGATGGATTTTTCGAAAGGAAAAGTGTACGTTGCATAGGAAAGGCCTCTGTGCTGAATTTTGATGTACCCGAAGTTCGCACATGATTTAATTTGGTGCTCGAAGAAAGTTGTGAGCCGTATCATTCGACGTCCAAGTAGCGTGGGGCTTATAAAGGTAGACTCTACATCCAACTAAAATCACTGGACTAAAAAAAATTTGTTGTAGAGAATTCCTATAGAATGGGAAGAGAACCTTATGTGACAAGAATGATCGCTCTACAGAGAAAATCGTGGTGGACAGGATCGTTGCGGAGAGAGCCCACCTGTATTATTCAACTTTTTTATTAATCTTGTTCGGTGTTGATCTGGATCATAGACAGTTTCTAAGTCTGAATCTAGGGAATGAAACCCTTCTCCTGCTGGTTTGCTCACAAAATTCAACTGGAGAACTTGAAAAAGTATCGTTGAAATTGTTTCATGGCTTTTGTATCAACTCTTGTGTTGTAATGACTTTTCCTAGCTGGATCGTTAGCCGGAGCGATGGTATATTTGGCTGTTGATGTCAATGAAGGAGGTCAGGAAGCCCAGGGTATAGATGCATACGAGGCGTGCGCGGTGGGAGGAGAAGCCAACCGAGGTACAGGAGCGCGGCCGAAGGACTACGTGCGCTATCCTGCAAAGGAAAGAAGTGGGTCGCTGGGAGGAGACCGGAAGAGCCCAACATGGGCTGAATCTGACTGCGACAAACAATGGGAAGCCAAGTTTCGTTGCGCGAATCTCCGGACATGTTTTTCGAAGAAATCCTCGAACCCGATGGCTAGCATTGACAGCAGTGCGCCTGAAACTACTTCGTCAGATAACTCTCCGACCGTTGTGCGTCGTGCTTGGAAAATGCAAGGCCCTGGCTCCGATTCAGGTAAGCCAAATTGTTTCCATACCTCTCCTTGAGGCCCATCCAGCAATCTCTGGGGCGCATCGGAGTACAATATTCTTTGCTTCGTGCAATCAATCAGCAAACACGAGCCTGGTCCTACTAAGATTTATTTTTCAATTTATGTTGGATGGAACCCTTCATCTTGCATTTTCCAGAATCCTTGGAATAATTGAGAGAAATCTGAAGATGTGCTGGCTTTAGTCCAGATTTATGTAACCGTCACATGGTTGGTTGGGTTGCGACTGTGTCAACAAAGCTGGATTATGGAAAGTCGCATTCGTTCGCAATCTAGTAAAGTTGCTTTGTCAATACAGACGTGAAAACCATGCGTGAAATGCGACAAACCTACGGCTGAATATGAAGTTGTGAAGACCAGATATTTTTCCCTACGCCTCTTACTGTTATCTACTCCTTAACAGATCAAGATTTGTGAAGGAAATGCCGCATTTGTGCCGTATTTTTTTCATTCATGTAGAGTCTTGGTATCTCAAGGAAATTGCCAGTGCTTCTTCTGAATGAACCATTTATGTTAATCCTGAGATGGAGGGAGTAGAATCGGTTTCCTCATGCGTCGAAATTCGCTCCGAATATCCACTTTTGCACGAATGAACAGTCCTTATGTTATAGCCAGTATCATCTGCTTATCTCGTCTAAGAGCGCCCATGCACTTTCATTTATGCTTCCCAGTATCTTCGTGGGATTAAAAGTGCCACGTTCGCGAAAATTGTTGGACGGGTAGTTCTTCCAACTTGCCGCAATTTTTAAATTCGTGGAATGTTTCCGATCACCACCAAACGTCAAAAATAGTGCATAAGTGTCTCGTGCGGTCAGTCTGTACCTTATTATTCGTATTTGTAGTTGCTTATTTTTGTGCATGAGAGTAATTATTTTTTCTTCCCAAATGATTTTACGGATAACTTGCCTGCTTAGGACCTTGCGCGTAAGATATCTTCACTTTCCGACGAGTTTCATGCAATAATTTGATTCATAATATTTATTTCCGTTCGACGATAAACTAGGATCGAGCGGGAAGAGCTCGGATAGTTTGGGATCCTCAAGCAGTGGAGGTGAAAAGAATAAACAGAAAAGGCCGTCTGGAAATCAAGGCAATCTAGCGTCACCAAGCTTGGGCGCCAGTGCGGGTCCGGCCTTGCTGCCCGATCTCTCGCCAGCCAGCGGCCAAGCTGGCTCCACCACTCCGACGAATGTGAATCAGAGCAATGGACCATGTGCATCTCCGAATGCTGTATCCAACGGTGCTGCGCTGATGGCGGGTCCTCCACCACCGTTGGGTTCGCATGTCGTGGGCTTCTTCTCGCAATCGCCGCTTCTCAATCCGTCGCTGGGTGAGAATTTTTGAGTCGTTTTATTGACTTCGTTCTTGAACTTCTGTGAATAAACACCAACGCGTTTCACTAAGGGTAAGACCAGTTTTATTTTTTCTTAAAAAACACCGCAAGGCTTCTTTTCAAGTTCGCCGGACTGGGTGAATTGCGTTTTTTTTTTTCATTGCTCAGGAGTGGCATTCAAAATGAAATGTAGAATTTGTCGAGTCTCTCATTCTAGCGGAAGTAATAACCCCAAGGTAGTGCCGAACTAAAATTTGAATTGAGAAGTCGGTACCAAACACTCGGAATGGATTTTAATGACCTTGACGAGAGTTATGTGGCATAGCGTTTAGTTTGAGATGTTGGTAACGTGTTGCTGAGGTTTACGGCGCGATAGGTCTTATTTTAAGGAAGTACTGTTGTTCAGTACTTCAGTCATTTGCAGAGCTTTCTCTGATCCCTTCTTGACTGAAGAAATATATCGCGTGGTGACTGAATTATAAGCTTTTAGTTTCCAAGTGCAATTGTATTGGCAAAAACCTTCGAAAAACGCGCTAATTGAGAAATCGTATATGAACTGTGACAAATTTTTGTGCTTCTTCACAGTCGGTAAAGATCAGTCGAACAACGCAGCCATCCGAAATAATCAGAATTCGGGAGCGAGCGGAACACCAGGCGCATCCAATAGTGCAGGGGCCAATGTCAATGGAAACAAGAATGCCACCGCCAGTGCGAACGTAACGACGAATGCCATGATGACCCAAGGTGGGAAGAACAGGTTCAAGTCGAAGCGAGCCTATCCAACGATCCCGAATCAGCCGAGCGAGGCTGGGGCGCACTTCATGTTCGAATTAGCCAAGACAGTGCTCGCGAAGGCTGGAGGAAATTCATCCACGTCGCTGTTCACGGAAACCTCAGCCTCTGGCAATCATCGCGGTCCGCATCGAGCATTGCACATGTGCGCATTTCAGATTGGGTTGTACGCTTTAGGGCTGCACAATTGCGTGTCCCCGAACTGGTTGTCGAGAACATATTCATCCCATGTTTCTTGGATCTCAGGTAAGAAAAGCCGGATGAGTCTGAAAACTTATTTTTCCCTTTGGAAAAAAGAAGCGTCCGAATTCGAGATTCAAGTTATTGTATTCCTACTCTGGTGGATAATCTCTGGTAGTTTGGCTCCTGGTGGATAATCAACGTTCGTTTTCTAATTTCTTACGCTTTCGCGTCGTTACTCGTACTTCATATTGGGAGAGAGATGTGATTCAATTTCTGTAATCAGGTCAAGCCCTTGAAATCGGGGAGTGCGCTATCGCCTTTCTGATGAAAACTTGGGAAGGGCACTTGACTCCGCCAGAAGTTGCAAATCTGGCCGATCGGGCATCACGCACTCGAGATCCTGGGCTGGTACGAGTTGCGGCGGAGTTGGCGTTATCGGTTCTACCTCATGCTCATGCTTTAAATCCGAACGAAATCCAGACTGCCATTACTCAGGTAAGACGTCACTGCCGTATTATTAGCAGATGATGTGTTACTTAGTGGTGAATTTTTGCTCTTAGCTGTTCGTAGAATGTAGGGTTGCGTGCGGAATGATGAGTCAAAATTAGTTATGTGATGGGGAGTTGAATATGAAAAATTGAAACTTATGTTCCTAGTGCAAGGATCATAGCGATGAACTTCTCGAAAGAGCCTGCCTTGCCGTGGAAACGGCAGCCAAAGGCGGTGGTGTCTCGCCGGACGTTCTCTTCAAAGTGGCTCGTCGTTGGCAAGACCTGTACCTGATGATGCAACGGAAAGTCGGCGAGGGGAACGGTTGCTCTTTCGTCTCGCGAAGTAACGGTGAGGAGTGCGACGTTGGTCGATACGATGACCCGCGTGGACGAAGCCCGGGGATGTGTGAGGCCGATTATTCCATGTCGGCGCAAAATCCCGCGCACCCCGTCGTTGAGAGCATTCAGGTCGACCTTGCGATGCCTACTGGCCCACTCCCTGGCGTCCAACCGTTGTCTGGGCCCAACAACTGTCACGCTGCTCAACCGGGTCTTCCAAATGCGGGACCCTCGCATCCTCCACTTCATGCGTATTCATTTCAGGTACGACTTCATGTAGCAGACTTTTGAAACTGATAAAGAACATAGCTTCGACGGCAGTCGTTGGCACTGCGATTCCGAAACAAATGCTCCAGGTCAAGGCTGTGCAGGTGTACAGTATCTTGTTTATTCCCATCTGGGCAAATGCAAGTATCGAGTGTGAAAACTCCGCCGTGAATCTTAGCGAAGGAAAGCGATGCGCATCGTGCGGACAGGTTCAACATGAAACAGATTCCTTGGTGTATTGCATTTCACGTCTTATTCATTTGATTTAAAATTATTTCGTGCTTCAGCGAAGCGTGTTTACGATATACTGCTCATGGCGTTGCAGCAATCAGCTCTACCTACACTAATTTATGGCTCGCTTCGACGCCGTAGATGCAGAGATTATGTACTGTATTAACGTCGTATGAATTTTATAGCTTTGCTTCATCTTTCGGAGAACTGTTTTTACGAGAGTTTCCGTACGATTTATCTGGTGTTGAGATATTTGCATTGTTCATTCACATTCATGAGCAAAACTGTTGGATTTATGACGACTTGCAAAAGCGACGCTTGTGAACGATTTTGTTTGTTCATATACAGTATTTGCTTCATTGATCGCAGGTGGGTTTGGCGACGCCGTATCAAACGTATGCGAGCTTCACGTACCTTCCGCCGTTGGCTACATATTCTTCGCTGGCATACCCGCTGAATTTGTCGTATCAAGGGCTCCACTCGACGCACCACGGCACGCAACCGTCCGTGCACCACCACCACCACCACTTTCAACATGCTCACGCCCAAGCGCTCCTAGCGCAGCAAGCACCGTTGATACCCCATCATCCGGGTGCTCCGCCGACGCCGCACAACCCTCTCCATCCCCTGCGCCATCAACTTCCTAACGGAGGTTACGGAGGCTCTCATGGGTCCCTACTACGACACCCTGGTCCACCCACGTCAGTCGGATTGGCCATGCCAATGACGGGCTCAGCGTCTATCGCAGTGTCCGCTCCGCTCTGCATGACACCCGTCGCTGGCCAACCTGGCACCACGACGCCGCCGTCGTCATCGCAACATAACCAAGGAAATCAGTTCGCTGTGAGTTTAATATGACCCCTGGATGTGGAGGGTTGCGATTGGGATTTAAATAGATGTACTTATTGGCCGCTGGGGTGTTTTCATGTTCACAGCAGGAGTATGACTACCGTTTGAATGCGTATCGTGTTGGAATGCTTGCTATGGAAACACTTGCCACACGCGTCCACGACGACCGTCCGCAAGCCAAGTATGCTCCGAATCCTCCGTATGCTGACGACGTAAAATGGCTCCTAAGTAAGTGTGCTGTATGCTGGCGAACTTACGCATGATGGTAGAGGTTGATGTAAAGTACGGTACGCAAATACAGTCTTTAAAATTTTCTTTATTGCTCTGTCATTCGCGGGCGGACATTCTAAATTCTACGTTCGATTCGTATTCCTAACGAGCTTGATCCTACAGTTTTTGAAAATTTTGAACCAGTGCCTCCTACGGTTTCATGACTTGACCGCTCTCCAGTTCTGGTGTTCCCCAGCGTATCGTTGGGGAACACAGATTCAAGAGTTATTTTCATTCATTTTTTTCCTCTCGAGGAATCTTCATTTTATTGTTTTAAATATCTGACTTCCGAATTTGTCCCCCACAGAACTGGCAATCGAATTGGGATCAGCTTATATCCACCGCTTCTGTCTGAGTGCGGTGCACAGTGTTGTGAGCCCATTCGTGCTTGTGGATCTTTCGCTCGAGGCAGCGTCGTATCTCTCTCGTCAGTCGACTGGAAATGGAGCTGGTGTTTCCTGCATTGGCGTTAACATCGGAGCCGGAGCTCTGGGTACATCTGGCGCCAACAACAGCAACGGGGCGATGTCAGTACAAAGCTTAGCGCATCACCTCCGTAGCCCGATGCTTTCTCCGCTTGTTCAGCGGTGCCAACAAATGTGAGTATGACATGTTGAGGCTTTGCTTGTCCGTTGTCTCTGTTCGTAAATTGTTACCTTCGAATGAAAGACCTGTTCCGAGTTCTCAAAAGTTCGTAAGTTTACTGAATAAATGCTTTGTTCTTTGTGTTCGGAGGTTTCGGGACATGTACGCGAATGCTAAACGAAGAAATCTTCGTGTTGGTCAATTTTCTGTAATCTGAATGATCGGGACTCCGAGGTTCCGCATTTGGAACACTATTTTGTGTTCGGAACATAACTGCCACATGCATGTTTTCAAAATACTGTAGTTCGATATGCTTCTATTTTGTCCTGTTGCGTAGAATAGGCGTATGATATATTCCGGACTCTTTTCTCATTTTCTATATGTATCATGGTGTAAAAGCGGATTTCTGACCTCCAAAAAATGAAGTTTCCGAGGATTGCTAACTACAGTACTTCGATAATTGATTTTAGGTTCATCCAATGCACGCATCAGCGCTTGTATCACATCACGCCGGGCGAGTACGAAGACTTCGTGTCAATAGTGAGAACAGCGAGGACAGCTTTCCAGATGACTCTCGGCGGTCCGACGCAATTCCAGGAGCTGTTGCAGAGCCTGAAACGTTCCAAGTTTTGCAAGAAGGAATTGTGGCACAGAATCACCGCCGTTCTCCAGCAATCACCGGGCCATTGACGAGCCCCGCGATTTCATAGTTCAAGATAATACTGTCCAGACGTTGCTCGCAGCATGATTCCCGTCCCGTTTCTGCGTTTATCACTGATATCTTCTCAGTCGGTTGTGGCGCTGGGCTGAAGCTATTCTAGCTGTTGCGTTTTTCGGAGCGAGCGCTTGCTCGTGAACCTAGTACCGAACCAACGCTACAAGACCACAGGCACTGCATCGGGACAATAAACTTTCTCGAAAGAAGCTACATTTTAAGAAGCGCATGAACGTGAAAATGATCTCATATGTGTGTCTCCCTTAGATTTCAGTTACGGCATGAATGCTCGGGGAATTGTTCTTTTTTATGCGTGTTCTTTATGTATGTTTTATCCAATTGGATCGAGGTCCTTTTCCACATATTTCGTCGTCGTGCTTTCGGTTCGCGACGCACAGCGTGAATGTGAGACGTGAATGTGACGCTTCTTCCAAGATTTCTTCGTTGCTCCTTCACTGACCGTTGGACGAGCTTAATGTCCTTCCATGCTTGTTGTATTTCGATTACTCGTTGTGTCGTTTTCGACGTTGCCTTCTCGTGGAGTTGTTCGATATACCGTATGCCGCGAGGATCATTTTTTAGTGGTCTGTTCTTCGTATTGATTCAGCTACAGAAACCTTCGTGACATATCTTTTGTCGGTATTATGCTGATTATCTTGCGAATCTGCAATTATTTTCCTCTTGAGTTGTGTGGGAAATTCTTTGTGGATCGTAACAGTTCTGTTTTATTTGATTTCTCGTTTCCGAACAAAACTTAGGTCTATGTCATTCCTGATCTTAAAAAATGCCTTGGGTTATCAGTGACAGGAGGCTAATCAAATTCTTCATCCTTGATTTATGTGAGCATGTTTTTGGGATTGCGGGTAAATTTTGTATGTGCTGAAAATCGTATGTTGGCGTTGAGACGGAGGTGGATTTTAGCGGAGAAGACATGGTATTAGCACAACTACAATATGTAAATCATGCCGTTTTCTTGCGCGTGTTTTGTTCTAACATAGTCTAGAAGTGGAACTACGCGATTACTGCTTAGTGCAGTTCACTCGGATTTTTTAAATGTTCCTTCGCAAATTTTGGTGTTCACTTTTACGTTTGAAACATATTTCTTGCTGTCTTTCGTTCACATTGCTGAAAGCAATTAGTTAAGATGGAAAAGCATGAATATTTTGGACGTATACTCATGCATGTAACATGATGGTGTGACGTGACGCATCGATATCCGTAGGACCAGCTTTCCTATCGGTCGAGTGTGATTTTGGTTTTACTTTACCCTACTTGCGTACAGGAAATTGATGTATATACTCTGAATTTCGCGTGGAAAAAGTACCTCTTACTATTACCGAGAAGAACTCTTAAGTCGCAAGAGAAGCGGAACACGAAAGTGTAAAAGGAATTAATACAATTGGGATGTCATTTGTGCGATTACAGTTTATTTTTCGAGTTGCTATATCTGTTCATGGATTCAAATATACATAAATACGTGAATGAAGATTCCTCTTGTTTCCTTCTCATTGAAATGCACGTGTATAGTAGGTAGAGCCTCATGATCAACATAATCTTCCCTCCATTTTTGTTTGTTTAAACGGCAGATCGACTGTTGTCAGTAGATGCTATGAAGAACGGACTTCCTGACCCATGGCCATCATTGGAAAAGGTACTGTGGCAACTTTTTTCAATTGGTTAAAAGCTGTTGAATTCTTATTTTGGGTTGAACGGGTTTGCTTTCATTTCTTACAGTGTGCTCGTTATTCACGGAAATGTCGGTCAAGGAGAAAAGCTCATCACAAAGCAGTTTTAAACGTGCCATTATACAACTATAGAAAGTTGCTTTCAAATTTCTCGGAGGACTTTCACCAATTGAGTTATCTTGTGAAGTACTGCTCTTGGATTTTTGTGCATGGTGTCCTTGAATAACGCAGCTCACCATAGCTCTATACGGTGAATGTTTGGAGGGATTTTCCTTGTTGCTGACCATTGCGATTATCAGTCCAGAAGTTCATGTAAGACATAATAGCTGACTGAAGCATTAAAACAATGTGACCAAGAAAAATAAACTGTGTTCACGGTGATATAAAAAACCCGATTATTACTTCCGAGTCGTGACTTCAAGGTCGACAATTTTGGTCAAGCTTTCGACGAAATAAATTACATAGAAGCCCTTTGTTATTGCCGAGGGTATTTCTCGAAGTGCAGACCAACTTTCTTGGAGAATGACAACTGCATTGTGTCGAATTTAGTTACAGTATTTTGATTTTAATCAGTTTTTTGTGCACTGGGTCCTTGAATAAGAAGCTTATTACAGTTTACAGTACATAAAATAGTTTGCAATTCCTCAATTGTGTGAGGCATTGTTTGCTTTAGCCCTCGTCAGGCCTGCGAGACGTTTTCCTTCCAGTTGTAGCCTTTAATGCCTCGGATTTATACGAATAGAATTGCGATTATTTTGTAATGTACTGTATACAACGGACAACGAAGTTCGCGCAGGTCATACAGAATCAACTGTCGGATGACATGCGGACTGCATTAAGATTTATTTATTATATTTTGGATTTGATTTGAAGACGCATTGAAAACCGTGTACTTAATTGTTTTCTGGGATGTTTTGCAAACACACTTCGTATATGAAAAGTGAAAAAGTTCGAAGATAATCTCTAGGTATGGAACAGATAGTTTGCTAAGCTCCACTGTTCTTCACAGTCAGTTGAGATCAAGAAATGAGTGGCAGATTTCCCAATTTTTAAAATGGGTTTCTTACGGAAAAAAATTTTAAACATAGAATATCACCATCGCGAGACGGATATTTTGTCTCTTAAGTGGCGATACTGTAACACAAAATTACGAATACGTATTTATTCGGAACATAAAGTAGGCAGTTAAGCATCGTGGAGGGTCGAGCTAATTTCCTTCGCAAATAAATAATTCTTGTACCTTCCTCAATTAATCGATATACAGGGGCTGAACATACAAAAAATGCCGATCGCGTGATCGATGGGAAACGAATAATAATTTCTGACAAGTCGTCACGCGGACATCCGAAGTAGCTTAGAACTAACACGAAAATTCCCATTTTCTGGATCAAGCATGCTAAAAGTCTAAATATCTGGCCCATGCAAGCTTCTTTTCTCAGGGAAAAATGTGCGTGTTTTTCGAATTTTCCAGCAAATAAGAATTCCTTTTTTCCCTCTGAAAAAAACGAACGCGTAGGTGATGCGGGACGGACAAATTGTGCGATGGAAAACTGTGCCGTTTGAGCTACTTATTTGGGTGCCAATTGCTTGCTGTTCATAAGGACGAGCTCCGTGAATAATTCAGATAATTTCAAGTGCTACTCCAGGGTCTTTTTCCTGAAACAAATTCGTGGAAAACGGGCCAAAATATTGGCCAATAAAACTGAGAACGTCCTTGTTTCGCGGAAATCATTTGTTTGTTTGAAGAGCTGACTGACCGAGCCACCCAAAAATTAGTTCCAGGGTCAGTGCAGGGTGTATCCCAAGTAAATTCAACATTTATTGTTGATAGATATTCGTATTCGTTCTAAATTTTCCAATACGTTTTAAGGATATCTCCTAAACTTATTCCACTGTTAAAAAAACTAAACATGCTGATTTCGGAGCAAAATATGTTGAATAAATGTTGAAAAATCAGAAGTTCCATATCTATACTTTTTATTGTGAAAAGTTAAACTTTTATTCCGAATTTTCGATATTTTTCCATCGATCTTCTCACATCTTGGGCTGAGTTGCCTCAACTCTTTCTTTTCATGCCAGTCTGTATATTGGGACCTATATTTTCAGGTTCAGTAGTCGACTTGACTACGGTATATACGCGAAAAGTTTTACGAGCAGTTGCAGTATTCGCAGTTATTCAGTTCTGCCTGCATAGCAAAGACGCCAAAAAATGAAGAAGTAATACGCTCTTCAATTATCTATGCGGACCTATTTTATCTCATGTGCCGGATATGTGATGCAAAAACTTTCGTTTGATGTTTTTAAATGACCGGACTTACTTCAGTATATTGGATACAGCCATGTAAACCAATTCAAGAGCACTGGACGTATCACCTTTCATTGGAGCACTATTCAATTTTCTAACCCATTTGGTTTTTTTTCAACATTTTTGTGTGAAGTCTTTGAAGATCCGTCCAAACTTTTCTTGGCTTCTCAGTATGCCCCTGTCTGAAAATATAGCTGTGCTGGTTCTAAGGCCAGTTTCTTAGCTTTGAGGTAATCTTTGCCAACCCTCAAAGCTCAGGTGCTCAACAGAAGAGCGAATAGTACAATGCAGGAAGTGACGAAGAGTACGAATGACATGGCAAGTGAACAGAACAGCGAGTGCACAATGCTGTGAGTCACTACTCTATCAGATTAATACACTCGCTTCCAGTTGTACTTACTCGTACGCCCTTGCTATTCTGTTCATTTTTTTTTTCAATGCAGTACTGTACTGTACTGCAGGTCTCGTTATTTTTTATACATAAGCACAAAGCTGAAATAAAACTGGTCCCACAAATCAAGACATAGTGCATTAAATTTGCATTTTGATTTGACCCAAATAGAAGGGCTGTTAAACACAGTCGGTACAGACAATTTCTTTTTTATTCAATCAGGCTCTTTCCGGTTATTGTTGCAGTGTGAAATAAAACCAAATTTTAGCCGGAACGTTCTGAACTTTTGAGTCGTTCATTTCCTATCCAAAAGTCTGTTCTACGTTAAAAATCATTCGGGTATACCCAGAAACTATAATTACAGTTCTGGAATTCCTTGTGTTCTACTTGCGTTGGACATTTGCCAAATATTTAATGATGCATGCTTGAACTCTTCGAAGTAAACTAAATTCAAATTGTTCTTTAGTGAATGCCATAAGTCTCCCTCTGTTGTCTTCTCTTAAAAGGGCAGAATGAGGTGTTTTACTCAGTTCAATTCCTGTTTTCATCGTGGGAGGTGGAACTCAATGGACTTCACACGAGAGACCATTCCATGTAAAAGTGACAATTTTCAAATAAAATCCTATATTAACTGAAGTAATTGCTCAGAGCCCGAGAAGATGGATCATACCACATCATCATAGATGCAAGCTGGAAATTTGCGTGCTGTGAAAATTCAAGGTTGTGTACATATCTAAGGAAAGGGAATACAATTTAATTCTTACATATTTCCAGCAAATTCAACAATAAAATGTGACAGCGAGATTCAATTATGCATATTGCAGCTTTTTCAGTCAATGGTCACCCATATTTTTTGTAGTACCTGTTGGCTGTTCCTATTCACAGGTTGCTTCCAATAAAGCAAGCTATTCCTGCCTGTCTTAAAAACGATAATAAATAGTCGTGGGTCTTTTTTTTATTTTCTAAGTGCTATTCCAAAAATGAAACGCGGCATTTTACGTCATATTTTACATTACAGTTTAATGGGGGGACGCACATTATTCATACTTTCTCTGTGAATACGGAAAGCCTTGGTGCATTAAAAAGGTCGGGAAGGTGGGAAAAGCGTGCCTGAAATGCGTTTGTGAAAGCATTTCTGCTTGGGGAGCCCTTGAAAAATTGCGAGAGATTATGAAAGATAATTATCCTCGATAGGGCAACGCACACGTGCTGATTATAGATTCGATGGGAATATAATTGGCTTCCGGTTCGAAAGCTCTGGTCTGTTTTCTAGATGACTAAGAATCAACATCGAAAAGTATAGTGGGCGTTGAAACTTCAGCGCTCGAGCTATTAGCATGGGGTAATAATACAGTATTTAATATTCCTTCACCCTTTTACCTCGGTTATTTTCTTGATCACGTGAAATGAACTAATTTGGATTTCACAGATATATATGAATGGCAACGGACGGGAATATTTCAAATTTGAAGGCGCACAAATGAGGAACGATAATATATGAATTCACAGCAGACAAACGAATAAACAGTAGCGGGTTCCTCTGCCAGACTTCAAGCCGGAATCGTGGATTTCATGAAATTGAACAAAACTATTCATTTTTAGTAGATAAATGTGTACAATTTCGGCAGCGAATCGAATGTAAAAATGAGATGGAAGTCGATCCAATCTAAAACCTAATCTGATGTGCGGAATGATATAGGCTGTATCATCTTCTGATATGAAAAAATAGATTTTATTGTTCGTGAAATTCCGACAATTTTTTTCGTTTATTCCTGTTGGATATGATTGGGTTACGTTTGATAAAGTTCACTTTCTGAATTAGTTTTCATTCAGATCGGTTATGCAGATTCCAAAATAGTACGCCTTCGTCCCTTCGATGCCCAACATTATCACTATGCGTCTGCGTTTCCTCTGCTGCAATATTTGTATCACTGTTATAGTGTAAAGCTGGGGTTACATTAGGTTTTGATTCTCGTCACGAATTCAGACTGATTTCTTCCTGATGTTCCTAGAACCCGTTCGAATGAAAATCTCTGGCGTGGACTACATGAAAGTACCTATTCATTATTGAGGAATTGCTTGGCTGAAAATATGACAGTGCGCACAT